CCATCAAGGCGTTGCGAAGAGTATATCCGCTGATGTTAAATGCAGCAATACCCGAAGGAGCCAACCTCAATACTTTGATTGAACGTGGTTTGGTATGTATTGATGCATTAAGCATTCGTGATATTCTCTCAGTAACAACATTGATTAATACTGATTTACCAACTCCAGCGTCGCCAGTTACAAATAGTCGTAACGGTTTCTCTGTAGATCGAATATGATGTACTATGTGGTTGCAAACGGCACGTCGGTGGATGTTTAATAAACTCTCTAGCCGCATGTACTCCGTATCGTCGATATTGACATACACAAAAACATCATCCGCTTTCTCTTGTCGTTTCTCCATGTTCAACTCAATCCCTATATCGATTTTATAGTCATCTTGATCTGATTCTAATGCATTGTTGGAATGCTCATGCATATCTTTGCGATAACTAATGAATCTAATAACCTTAATCTTTTTACGTTGATAGTAATACCTTCGTTTGTGGGACAAGTCTGGACCAATTGAACGAGCATTATTTGTTCTTTTTGAGTGCATCGCAACCTCAAACTTCGAACTGAAGTCAGCCATACAGATGTTGTCTAGAGCATTAGGTCTACCCATGTATCATTCCAATAAAGCATATGGCTGATACACATCCGTGCTGTTTGATTGTAATGCTTTTAATTCAGCGATTGTCTTTAAAGTTAACAATCGTTCGGTGTGAGGCGCATTGTTAACAAACAATACCTGACGTGTTGCCATTTGATACCGTAATCCAAGCAACACATTGCATGCTTCTTGTGCATTGATTTAAAGGGAATTAAGCATTGCATTGCCGAGCAAACGTAGAACTGTTTTTCTACCACCTTTTTGTTGACGTGCTTTCTCCATGGCTTGTTGCATCATTAGACTCGTACCTTTATTTGTCTTTGTCATATAGGAAACGATGTAATCAGCAACACTGTATGGATCGATGCACAACTGTACATCCGTATTACCATTCCATACCTTCAAAACAGTTGGATTAAAATTGTTGACAAACGCATCTCTTACATTACGACGAATAACAATCGAGACACGCTTGAGTGTCGATCAAATTGTCATTATGTAATCAGAAAGCAAAAGACCAATCTCTTTTACGAATGTGTCAAAAGTGCCTGAAATTGTTAGCACCACTTGCTCTAGCACACTCATTATGCACACAGCATTTGCTTTTAACCTTTTCACCTCTACCTCCATCAACGAAGTGGGCACAGGATGCAAAACCATTGTTTGAGGAAGTGGAATTTTTGGAAACCCGAACCTGCATTTACTGATTTTGGCCGACTTCCTTTGGCAAGATTTAGAATGTATATGGGTTTGTAACTATTGTAATTGCGGATCCAAACCATCTGAAGAGAAACTGATATGCTTATCTGCAAAATCAATTATACTCACGTTGTTGTCCAAAGAGACGTCTATACCAGATTTGCTCCACAAAACAGCGTGAGTATGTGGCGCACCTCGATGTTGGAACTCGTCCAAAGCAAAATAGTCATCGATGCCACCTAATAATGAGGACTTCGAAGACAGCAAGTTAGAGAACAATGTTTTTTTTCCTTTATTCATTATACCGAGCACATGTAACCGGATCGTTCCGTACAAGTACTTATCGTATTAAAACCTAATGGTACGCTACAATCGTCAGCCACTTTAGCTTGATTTTCTCGTAATTTATTAATGTTTAATAGTATCGTATGAAGATCGGCCCATTTTGTGTTAGCCATCGACAATGTCAAAAAAAATGTGGGCCTTCCAATCTGTTGCAACATCGCAAAGAGGTCGCGTTTACATTTATCTCTATATTGTTGTGTAGTACGGATTGGCTTGAAATCATTGTACAATGTGTCGTTTGGTTCCGTCTAACATATCAGCGGCCGTATATGATTCTATATTTCTAATTTTTTCTTGCCTCACCCTAGTTGCTATCACATTTTGAACTTGGAGGATCTCCTTTTTGTACATCTTAAAGAAAATGTTCGAAATATTGGAAGAACTCCGCCCGTAAATATGCTTCAACTCCCATTTTACTATATCGGAGTATGAAGCATGAACATCAAGCGATCCGCCAAATCTATGTTGACCACAATATTTTGAAGGAAAACTTAATTCTTCAACATCTTTGTCAAGAACAATAGACAACGGTCGTAAGCGCTCGCCAGGAGCCATTTTCACAATGGATTGTGACGGTTGTTGATAAAAATGCTCTTGCATTAATAATGTGTCAATCGCGCCGACATTTTGGTGGTCCACATTGTCGCTTTCACATAAAGACGACGATGCTGAGTCAACTTCATCAAAAGTGTTTTTCTTTGCGTTTGTTATTGAAAACGAATCATTCTCTTCTAACGTTTTCATGTTTGCTTGATGAACGCGAATATCGTATTTCTTAAAAAGTTCTTGATTGCAAAGAATTTGCAAAGCCTTATAAACTTTCGACGGGCGCACATTTGTACATGAGCTTGCGTTTCAAATGTACTGTAACCGTGTGTGTATCATCTCGTAACCTTGGAAACGATTGAACCATTTTGTCAACTTCTACTGGAATATTTATTACACCACCTTGAATGCCTAGTTGTTTGCCAACTGATAACGAATGAATTTTCATAAAAGGGATGCGAGGATATAAGAGTCGCTCCTCCAACAAGTTTTAATCTTGAAGCTCAAAAGGCTTCTTCGGAAACCCTTTTTTAATCAAAAATAGCGCAATGAGATTCTTTTCCGATCCTCTCGAATTTGGCACAATGGCGACATACGTGTACAGATGATTGTCGATGACTCATTTGAATGATATTGGATGCAAAATTCAAAGTGCCACATTTTGTGCATTCTATTTCAGGTCCACGCTTACAATCGCTTAGAAATTCGCGCGTCAATCGATCCGTCTCTTGCATGCGCGATTTTTTCTTTGACTTGTCTACGACGTCCACGACTACATCACTGAATTTTTTTTCGAGTTCCTTATTCAATATAGGAACGCCAGATGGATCCAATCCTAATGTCATTTTGATAGCATGTTTATGAGGTGCACGTAGCTTATAATGTATAAAATAAGCTCGTGCAAATGTTGCATCAATAGCGTGCAAGAAACCGGAAAATGAATACGTTTTTTGGTTGTGATTGATTAAAAATTTGAAACCCTAAAATTTGACACATCTCAGTGCTTTTACACCGATAAATTGTTTGACTGAAGAGTTTTGCACTCGCTCATTCTTATGACATATGCAAAACAACTCTTTCTCCATTCTCTTTTTGTTTTGGCAACACTGTTTTGAACGCGATAAAATGAACTCACTTTCTCCGACTTTCGTTTCACAGTATCTGTTCGAACTAAAAGTCGCAACGTTCATATTACTATTCGCAATTTCGACGGATTCCTCAATGTTTTCTGCTTTCTTTGACAAGACTGTACTTGGGACACTTCTTACAAGCGAACATTCTGAGGGCACAGAAATTGGCATATTTTGCAAGTTCTCACCTGACAAATATCGAGTCCCATAAAGCACGGCATCCTCAGAAGGGACCAACAATGAATAGTCTGACATTGAAGAGTCGTAATGCAAATGCATTACTCGGTCAGTCGACCTACCTTGGTCAGGTGTAAAACAGCAATAAAATGGGTCGTACCTAGCCAGATAAATGATGTAGTATTGAACAGATTGGAAAAAGCATGCATCTCATTGATGGACCCCCAAACACGATCAGGTGAAACACAAAAAAAAAATATTCGTCGGCGGATCTAAAAATGCGACCATGTGCCACACTTGCTTGATAAGGGTATTTATATTCCGAATTAGCCCAATCATAAACAACGTAGTGCAACACTGCAAGTTTAACTTCTTCATACCTGCTTTGTGTATCGTAAAGGCACTTGGACATACTTCGGTACAAACAATTGCCATCGCCCTTAATGGTTGACTTAGTAAAGCGGTATGGCTTCTCAAATTCATGAACAACTCCCTCACTTTTCAAGATTATGCTTGACAATGAGGTTGTTATCTTGTTCAAACTAAACGTTGCATCACTCATGTTACTACTATCGACATCGTTTGTCGATAAACTCTCAGCATGTAACAAGCCATCATCGATGGACACCTCAACGTCTCCTGCATTCTTTGACAAAAATGTGTGTGAGACATTTCTCTCGATCGAACAAACGTCTAAAGGTAAGGACGTTGGCATATTCAGCAAGTTCACACCCGGCAAAAACCGAGTTCCATAAAGCACGCCATCCTCAGAAGGGACCAACAATGAATAGTGTGACATTGAAGAGTCGTAATGCAAATGCATTACTCGGTCAGTCGAAGTACCTTGGTCAAGTGTAAAACAAGCAACAAAATGAGTCGTACCTAGCCAAATAGTTGATGTAGTATTGAACACTTTGGAAAACGCATGCACCTCATTGATGGACCCCGAAACACGATCAGGTGAAACATAGAAAAAATATTCGTCGGCCGATCTAAAAACGCGACCATGAGCCACACTTGCGTGATTAGGGTATTTATATTCGGGATTGGCCCAATTACAAACAACGTAGTGCAACATTGCAAGTCTAACCTTTTCATACCTGCTTTGTGTATCGTAAAGGCACTTGGTTATACTTCGATACAAAGAATTGCCATCGCCTTTAATGTCCAACTTATTAAAACGATACGGCTTCTCAAACTCACCAGCAACACCTTCGCCTGTGCAAGTTATTCTTGAGGATGGAGTGGTTATCTTGAATCAAGGCAGTGCGACCTCCCTCCTTCCGATACCGCCCGTTGTATTCGAAAACCCACACAAATCATTGCCACTAACAACAAAAATGGGGCAAAAATAAATGAAGGAACAAAAAGGAAACGAAAACATAATTACACAATGCATACGCAATCCAGGCACCATAACCCGGGCACCATGACCCGGGCACCATGAGCCGGGCACCATGAGCCGGGCACCATGAGCCGGGCACCATGAGCCGAGCACCATGAGCCTGGCATCATGAACTGGTCACCACGAACACGACACCATGAGCCGGGCACCATGACCCGGCCACCATCACCCGGTCACCATGAGCCGGACACCATGAGCCGGGCACCATGAGCCGGGCACCATGAGCCGGGCACCATGACCCGGGCACCATTAGCCGGGCCTCATGAGCCAGTCACCATGACGCGGGCACCATGAGCCGGGCACAATGATTCGGGCTTCATGAGCCGGGCACCATGGGCCGGTCACCATGACCCGGGCACCATGACCCGGGCACCATGAACTGGTCACCACGAACACGGCACCATGAGCCGGGCACCATGACCCGGGCACCATCAGTCGAGCACCATGTCCTGGGCACCATGAGCCGGTCACCATGAGCTGGGCACCATGAGCCGGGCAACATGTGATGTTCCAGGCACCATGCCCGGTGACCATGAATCCAGCACCATGAGCCAGTCACCATGACCTGGGCACCATGGCCCGGGCACCATGACTCGGGCACCATGAGCCGGGCACCATGAGCCGGGCACCATGAGCCGGCCCCCATGAGCCGGGCACCATGAGCTGGGCACCATGAGCCGGGCACCATGACGCGGACACCATAAGCCGGCCATGTCCCGGGCATCATGACCCGGTCACCATGAGCCGGGCACCATGAGCCGCGCATCATGAGCCGGGCACCATGAGCCGGGCAATATGAGCCGGGCACCATGAGCCGGGCATCATGTGATGTCTCGGGCACCATGACCCGGTCACCATGAACCTGGCACCATGAGCCGGGCACCATGAGCCAGACACCATGACCGGGCTCCATGCGTCGGGCGCCATGCGCCAGGTTTAAGGTTTAGGGTTTGCCGAGAAATTAGCAAAAGATATGTTTATTTCAATTTTATTTTTTCAAGTGTCTCGAAATAGAGCACAAAGTAACTACTTACAGTATGGTTAGAGCTAGTAGCTTCAAGGTTGCTGGAAGGGATGGAGCAAGTGAATTGGTTCGAGTCTATACGCCTGTGGAACGATACAGAGGGGTGCACAAAAATGCGATATGATATGAACAAATGTGTGGGAAGATATGTAGAGGTGTGTGATCAAACAGGAGTTGACTACCATGTGTGTGGTAGAAACATATATCTTAAAGGTGTAGAAGTGAGAAAGCATACACGAGAGCATAACAATCAAATCTGTTTCTTTCTAGTAGAAAGCAGAGCACAGCTAGTCTACCTGAAAATTTCAGAAAAAAATGCCGGCTTACAGGGTATTGACGGATGAGTGAGTAAATAGCAATAGAGAAAGGGAGACGAACAAGGAGATGCTGAAACATTTCCTGATGTTGAAGCACGAGGAAATAGGGGGTAAAGATAAAGAGAAAGAGAGGATTGAAAAAAAAAAAAAAAAAAACTACGATGGTGGGATGAGCCATTAAGAGATCGAAGACGACTGGGTGAGCAATCAAAATAAACACGTCGGCATGGAGCGGAACATATGAGCATGTCTCGATGAGCATAAACATGGCAACAAAATTGAATGAGCACACTCACGCAGAGATGTGCACACATGACAGCAATCTTATTGCGGAAAGTGTTGTAATCTAATTTATCTTAATTATTCACGAAAAGGTTAGAAAGAAGATATGGTCATCAAAGAACCGTTGTACAAGTTAGGAGAGTACCAAATCTCTTACAAAAATGTTCTTAAAGAAATGAAAATAAAAGACTGATTGCAAGCATGCACGCACGTACAAGTCTCCAACTACTCAAGTACCAAGATTACAGTGCAATCGTAGCTTGTTAGACCATGCTTATTGACGGGCTGCCACATGGTGAAAGTGGGGAAGGGGTAAACAGTGAGGAAAGGAGGCAGATGACGGGCGAGGCAATGACGGGTGGAGATGACGAGCGAGGCGCATGGCAGAAGTGAGAGGCACGGGAAGGTTGAGTGCCGGGTACGCTCATGCGACTTACACCTCATGAAGAACGCTTGTGGCGAGTGCAGGCACCATTATGAAACGAAGGCAATCATATGGAGCCTATGACAAAAGTGAGCAAGAAAAGAGACATGAAAAGGGAGACTGTGCAAACAAATCGCACTCCAATTCCATTGTAAAGAGGCAGACAGAGACGTACATAAAAACAGAAATGAAAACAGAACGATATCAAAATATATAGAAAAATATGGAAGCATATAAAGGCATACGCACGATGAGGCGGCTTGCAGGTCCATGGAAGGCTTGTGACGGGTGCTGGCTTCTTCGTTCAGAAGGGAAGGCAAGTGCATGGAGTGCACGGCGAGAATAGGAGACACGGCACGGGTGAGAGACACGGCACGGGTGAGAGACACGGCACGGGTGAGAGACACGGCAAGGGTGAGTGCTGGGTACGCTGAAACAGCTTGCAGCTCAACAGAAGGGTTCTTCCTGAAAAGGGGAGAAGAGACAAGGGATTGTGAAGAATGAGAATAATGGATAGTTGATGGAACAATGCGCTGGATGAAGAATACATTGAAAACATCGCGCCAGCGCCCAGGCGCCATAGCTCAAGGCGCCGGCGCCAGCAAACATTTGGCCAGCGCCCAGGCGCCATAGCTCAAGGCGCCGGCGCCAGCAAACATTTCGCCAGCGCCCAGGCGCCATAGCTCAAGGCGCCGGCGCCAGCAAACATTTCGCCAGCGCCCAGGCGCCATAGCTCAAGGCGCCGGCGCCAGCAAACATTGCGCCAGCGCCCAGGCGCCATAGCTCAAGGCGCCGGTGCCAGAAAACATTTCGCCAGCGCCCAGGCGCCATAGCTCAAGGCGCCGGCGCCAGCAAACATTTCGCCAGCGCCCAGGCGCCATAGTTCAAGGCGCCGGCGCCAGCAAACATTTCGCTATCGCCCAGGTGCCATAGCTCAAGGCGCCGGCGCCAGCAAACATTTCGCCAGCGCCCAGGCGCCATAGCTCAAGGCGCCGGCGCCAGCAAACATTGCGCCAGCGCCCAGGCGCCATAGATCAAGGCGCCAAAGGCGCTAGCAAACACTGCGCCAGCGCCCAGGCGCCAGTGCTCAAGGCGCGGCGCCAGCGCCAGCGCCTAGGCGCCAGAGCTCAGGGCGCCAAAGGCGCCAGCAAACATTGCGCCATTGCGCCAGCAAACATTGAGACATCAAACATCGTGCCAGCAAACATTGTGCCAACAAACATTGCGCCAAGGCGCTAGTGCTCAGGCGAAAGCTCAAGGCGCCAAGGCGCTAGTGCTCTAGTACAATTGAATGATTGCATGCGAACTATCCGTACAGTAGGTACCTTTTGAAAGATGTTCCTCACCTAAGAGATTCTCGATAAGTTTCTTTGGTGAATAGCAGCGACGTAGTGCTGTAACTAATAGTCAACTAGCGAAGTAATAGCTGCTATCCTGAATCTGAAGGTAGTACTAGCGATGTAGCGAGAGAGCTATGCAGTTAATTGGGAAGGGAGAGACGACGAGGGTGGGTTTGAAGGATGGGTTCGTATGGAAGAGATAGGGTTTGGGAATCGAGATGTTTTCGAGATGTGTTGATTTCGTTTTCGTTTTTTTGAAGTTCAACAATGAGGCAACAAGTGTGAGCTTTTAAAATTCACAAGTCTTAAGTATGACGGGCAAACTCAAGAGGCTGGAATTTGTCTTGTCCCACCAACACAGCAAAAACATTGGTCACGTAAAAAATCATCTCAACCGCATCATCACGACAGAATTGACACGACCCAAGTTATGGATGAGTCATCCCAAATCTGTGTGGTCCCCAATGAGTGTGCTATGGTCTTTAAAAAAATCATCTCAATAGTAACAATGTAAGCATACAAATAGCATATGAAGAGTTTGCATCCAAAACTAAAAGTTTAGCACATGATAAATGAATTATCACTGATCAGATACAAACACGTCCTAAAATGATTAATTCTATAAGCTTAACTTCCTATACAACCCTTTTGACTATATCGTTGAAACTCGACTTTACAACAATATAAATGTTACTGTTATCACGTACATATTGCTTCTAGTTATTACAGCAACAAAAGGTAAGGACTTTAAAAACAATATTGTAAGTTATATTTAGAACAACTATTGCAGACGTGATAAATCTACGTCATGGTATTTACTAGTACAACATATATATTCTGAAGTTGCGTCATTATGAATCAACGAGCTGAATTATGCATAAGGGAAAACGCGAACTTAGCGTTCTATACATACACTTCCAGTTGTCCTTCTGATGTTAACGTCGAGCCTTGTTACTTAACGAGATTAATGATTTTGATACGGTATATATTCTGAAAGCACCCCAACACATTTCTCCACAAATGCTATAAGGTTTAGGGAACCATTTCTGGAAACCAATGATGCGGTTTAAAGCGTACGAAACTAGCTAGTGCATTGCAATCACACAAATTACATTTTTTTTTTTCATTACACTTTACAAAACCAGGGGAGCATAACCCAAACTGCCACCATTAGGTAGGGAATTCTACCTTGTGGCAGAACGACTTGCTTGCAGCCCGACTGCTTGACCTCGTGCTACTCCTGCAAGCTTTCTTTCCTGCATGGTAGAGGGAGTGGTGGGAGAGGAATGGTATGGGAGTGAGATGGTGGTGGGAGTGGGATAGTATTGGGTGGGAGTAAGGTGGCATAGAAAGTAAGTTCTCTCCACAGCAGAACCATCTGGTGGGCTGATGCTTGAAACTTAACATCAAAATTTACGCCTTGTCTGTACTCCTGCCCCTCCTGCCCACCTGCCCCTCCTTCGCCACCCGCCCCTCCTACCCCGCCTACCACACCTGCCCCGCCTACCACAACCACGGGGATGCTGCGGCCTGCGGCGTCTGATGGGAGGGCCACGTCAAGACCACCTGGGAGACAGGGCGGAGGGGAAGAGGAAGGGAAGGGACGCGAGGGCAGGGAAGGGGTTTGGAATGCTGCTGGGAAGGCAGAGGGTGGAAGGGAGGGTGGTGTGGGTGGGCGGGGTTGATTTGAGCTTTGCATGCTATGTGCAGTGACATCTGGTAGGGTGGATGTGAGGGGCACGTCTACACTGGCTGGGAACAGGACGAAGGGGGTGGGGGGGGGTGGATGGGGTGGATACAGGTGGTGTGATCATTAAAGGAAGCGTCGATGCAGTAATATAAGAATGATGCCTCTGAGGCAGAATCTCATAAACGGCTCGTGCAAGTGATGATGTAGTAATAAAGACATTTGTTCTCCATCATCACCCCCCAACCCTTCTCTCCTTTCCCTCCTCTTTCCCCTTTACCCATCCGCGTTCCCCCCTAAACACTCACCTCCAGGCACCTCCTCCACATGCGGCACCACCACCACACACTTGGCCCTCCCATACCATCCCCATGCACATGTGCATTACCCTCCCTTTCTCCCCCCCTCCACCTGTCCCAGGAACTGCATCAGCACCACACCCACTTTTACTCAGCATGAGGCCGCAAGCACCACACACGAGTGCACAAGTCACCATCATCATCATGCTCACCCCCCTACCAACCCTTCGACTTTGTCAACACACACGCTGCCTCATCGCACGCATGGGTGGCTTGAACATTGGCAGATACGCGTTTTTGCCATTGTAATACATTATATTATGCAGTCCTGACAATCCTGCCAATGTATAA